CCAAACAGCAAATGCTCACCAACCAGAGTTTTACCCATTAAAAATAACATTTAGAAAGTTTAATAGCCATCTAATTTAATTATTTCTTTAAACATTATGTTGTCAAGTGGCGCAAAGGGAAGAAACTATATTTTTTCAATTCGTGGAAGTGTTAAAAAGCCCATGGAGCCTTAAGTAAGCAATTTTTAAAAGGGTTGAAAATACACAGCTGGAAATATGCAGCAGCAAAATTACTGTCTGCTCTCTTTTGCCCACAGAAGTTCTCGCACATTGGGTAACATCTTGGCTGTGCCATGGGTCCACACCTCATTGAGATTTTATGCTACTGAAGCTCTTTGTGTTTTGATTCTCAGCTGGTTTTGTTGTGGCTGTTATTTATCCAGACTTTGTGCAAATTACATACATTTTTGTTGTTTATGTGATATGTTATCACTAGTAAGCAATAAGCAATAACCAAAGCCTATTTCTGTGGAACCTCCTTCTCTCTTGTCTCTTGTATGTGTTCAGTTTTTCTCAACAGAATAAGGGAAAGAAGCGAACAAAGGAGAAAGTAAAAAGCGAATTGCTGTTCAATGCACATTGACTTTTAGCCCTACTGGGGGCGCTGACAGCTTGCAGAGCGACCAAAAACCGCCTCTGTGCTTCTGAGCCACCAGAATACAAAATAACCGGCATGAATGAATCCACTTTAAAGCTCAGAGTGTGAATATATGGTCCACGTGAAAGTGGATGTGATTTTTCGAGCCTATGCATGTGTGTTGAGGTGTAGGACATATGCCTAAGCAAACACACACCACACACACAGCCCACCGCAGTTGATAGCTCCTGCTCGGTGGAAACGTATCAGTTTCAAGATTGAGAAATTATTTGATTATAAAATAGCGTTGACTGTGTGTTCTTCTGCAACTCATGCCAGCTCCTGGATTCATATGCCAGCAGGCCGAGCCCAGCAATTTGTGTGGGAGTCAACGTGTGTGTTTTTGTGTGTATCTGCCTGTGTGTTAGAGTCAGGAAATAGAAAAAGGGAGTGAGGCTGAGATTGAAAAATTGCTAATGCATGCATTTACATAAACACCAGAGCTCCATCACTGATGTACGTGTTTGTACGTGTGTGTTTGTGTGCATGTGTTTTTGCGTGTGCATTTCTGAGAGGACTCTGAGTTGATCAAAGCTTCTGACACCCCAGGCAGTGTCCTCCTGAGGGAGCCAGCTGTCAGATCTGGGATCAGAGATCAGCCGCTTCTGTCCTCCCTTCTCTTCACTCTCTGTGGGGTCTGTCACAGCAAGTTAGCACTTCGCCAGAGGCACTAATCAACAATCAGATTAAGCTCTCTTGAAATGATAGCTGGGACGGCTGGCAGCCAGGACGGACATGTCCAAAGGAGCCAAAGGAGTCCTATTGAATCTCAACCTTGAACCTCAGATGCTGGAAAACAAGTTGTGTTAAGCATCCTGAGACAGCGTCTTTTCGGGGTCTAAATGCTTCTTCGGTTTCAAAACACAAACAAACAAAGAAGCACTAACTAGAGCTTACTATTAATTCTTTAAAGTGATTGGTGTATTTGTTCTACCAGGTTTTTCAATCAAGCATAATGGCTGTGATTTCGTGAAAAGAGGATTTACAAAACTGAGAAAGGTAAATTGAACAGTTATCAATAAACTGGCTCTCTTTAAGATGGAATCCAGTGTTCTGGATGAGGTGTTTCTAAAAAAAACAAAAAAACAGAAGAAAACATGCTGAACTTTTCTAATTTTAGACATACAGAAATGACAAAACTAAATGTCAGTTAGCTTTTGGAGACCAAGTGAAGCATAGAGTACATAAATAATGAATAATAATGAATAATTTCTTGAATAATCAGGCCTTATCTTATCTTAATGACCTTATAGTACCGTATTACTACAATAGAGCTCTTTGCTCTCAGACTGCAGGTTTACTTGTATTTAAAAGCAGAATGGGAGGCAGAGCCTTCAGTTTTCAGGGCCCTCTTCTGTGGAACCATCTTCCAGTTTGGATTCAAGAGGCAGACACCTTGTCTACTGTTAAGATTAGGCTTAAAACTTTCCTTTTTTGATAAAACATAAAGTTAGGGCTGGATTAGGTGACCCTGGATCCTCCTATAGTTACTTTGTAATAGGTCTATGCTGCTGTGGAATTCCCATGATGCATTTTTCTTCTTCTCTCACTTTTTTCACTCACTATATCTTTACACAATACTCTACATTGAATGATTAGATATTATTTATCTCTGGATCTCTTCCACAACATGTCTGTTCTTCTTGAAAATGTCTTCATCCACTAAACACAGCAGGTGAGGGTTCAATTATCATCCATATTATCCAATTATCAGGGGCGATCGTAGCTCAAGAGTTGGGAGTTTGTCTTGTAATTGGAAGGTTGCTGGTTCGAGCCCTGGCTTGGACAGTCTCGGTCGTTGTGTCCTTGTTGCCTACTGATGGTGGTCAGAGGGCCCGGTGGCGCCAGTGTCCGGCAGCCTCGCCTCTGTCAGTGCGCCCCAGGGTGGCTGGGGCTACAATGTAGCTTGCCATCACCAGTGTGTGAATGTGTGTGTGAATGGGTGGATGACTGGATGTGTAAAGCGCTTGGGGGTCCTTAGGGACTAGTAAAGCGCTATACAAATACAGGCCATTTACCATCCACTTTCACTAATCAAATACAGGGATGTGGGAGGCTGAGCCTGTCCCTGGTGCTGTCATAAGGTAGAGAGGCTTTACAGTCTGGGCAGGTGAACAATCTATTGAAGGGCTAACACGGGGAGACATTCACACCTTTAGAACTGCCAGTTAAGCTAACATCCAGAATGGAAACATTCTGTGGGAGGAATCCAGGGTACCTGGAGAGAACCCATGCTGGCACAAGGATAACAACAAGGACACACTAAGACCCACTTTAGTGTGTCAGTTTAGCAGATGGACCCAAGGACAATGAGCTCTCACTTCACCAATCTTGCAGCACCAAAACTAATTAATATTGATTATGTGAAATTTGGTATTATTTTAATGTTTTTCTATTTAAAAGCATTAAAGCTGCTGCTAATGGAAGTATTCCCTACTTCCTAAATTTCTCAGAGTAGCTATTTATTCTATTCTTCTAATTTTCAGACTGTGATGTCTAAATCTGGTGCGTCAAATCTTTTTTTATACCGCAACATAACAAATTGGTATTGTTTGAAAGTAACTTTGTTTTTGTTTTACAAAAGCCTCATTTTATTTCAACACTGTGTGTGAAAGTTTGAATTTTAAGTTTTTTTTCTGTGTTATGATATGTTTGACTAACTTGGTTGTGCATTTTAAAACTTCTCATATTGTCTGGCTGCTCACATTTCTCCCTTTTGGAGATGTTTTCCAATCTCAGCAATTAACTTAGGGACCACGAAGTTGTTATTAAAGGTACAAAGGCAACAATTCCCCCTCAAATTAAAAAAAAAGAAGAAGAAGAAAACACACACACACAAGCACACATATAAATATCCTTTAATACCCGTTTAGTCCTCCGTGACCTTGAGAATGTGGTGCAAAGACTGTGAGAAACTGTGCGCTGTTGCTTTGAAGACGATGGCTCAGGAAGAAAATGCTTAGGCCGCCTGACAATTGGCACAGAAAACTTAATATAAGCAGGATGATGCATTACAAATCTGCCATATAAAACACTACACCGGTGGTAAAATTGCTTCACCCAATTGCATTGGCCGTTGACTGCATATGTGTGTAATGGTAGGTCGGGAGTGTATGCTGCCCTGTCTGCGTGCCAGGGCTCCGGTCAGCCCACCCATCGCAGATGTGTTGCCAACTCTCACTTGGCAGGCACTTTGAAACCTTTCTTTACCTCTGCAGTGGTCAACACTGTCAACATCTCCATCAGACCACATGTATACGCAGAGCCTCTGAATCAGTGTGACTGGAGCGTCTGTCTATGCATGTGCCTTTTTTAATGATGTGTGCTGCAGGTTTGTGCAAACCGCGTGTGTGTGCGCAGCTGCTGCTGACATGTATTTGTGCCTTTTTTTTCCCCTCAGCTTAAAGGGTCAGTGCACCCAAACTGAAAGAAATGCACCCACGGGAGTTTGACCAGTAGATTGTTTTGATTTTATGTTAAAAACTTTGTGAGTTTGTATCACAAACACAGCATTAACAAATTTATGCTAAAACATTCAGCAGCAGCAGCATCTCTTCCCAGAAATTGTGTTTCCATTACTCCCAATATGCCACAAACCTCACTGTCAACAGTTTTCATTGGGACTATTTCTTTGGGAGAACTTAAATCCAATAAAAACTGTCTACAGTAAAGTCTTTGGAGTAGTAACTGAGCTATTTACACACATCTTTTTTATATATTAATTCCAATGCAAACTCACGCTGTCCCTCCAATCATTGTTCACACACATATTTTTTTCTTTTTTAAATTTAGACCAAAAATTTTAGGAAGATTTTTGGGGAAGTGGCTCAAGTTTGGTTGGAGTTATAAATGGAGAGGCGCAGTAATGCTTTGCTCTTCACTGCTAACAAGGCATAAAGCAGAAATTAATCTAGACCGAATCAAAAAATGTGTACTAGGTATACCTCAGTCTCAGCTTCACCACAGCTTTAATGAATAAATACTAGCAGGTGACAGTACTGACCCACACAAACTGACTTTTTTTTCTCCCTAATGTCACATACTGAGATTGCAGTTCCTTGCCTGAACCTATACATTCATTTTTATGCTGTTGTTTAACCGAGTCGTGCTGTGGGATTGTGACCGTAGCAGTAACTTCTTTTCATCCCTGCCCTTTTGCACCTTGCTCTGAAAGCTTCTCAGAGTCTTCGCTCAAGGAAGCTTGAAGCTCAATCCCCCTCCTCCACACACACAAACACACACACGCTGAAACTTTCCCTATATCTGCCCTCCCTTCTTCCATCCCTCTCTCTCTCTTTACTCCCTCCTCTCAGCTCAAAACTATAAGAGCCAGACAGGAGTGCACACACATACAATCCTCCTGCTCACACACACACACCCTCACTGCACATGCTTTGAGTGGAACAGATTCACAGTGCTGCACTGGAGTGAGACAACGGTGTATGATTGAGAGAGAGTTTATTCTCACCCCGCGTCAGCTCAAGGAAACCACCAGTGTGCAGAGGTTCATGAACGGATGACCTTAACAGAGGACCTTTTTTATCAGACCATGGAAGCCAAGAATTGGAGCTAAAAGAAAAGAAGAGTTTTTTTACTTGTTTGTTTGTTTTTTTAAACAAAAAACACCTTTTTGGCTGAAGTGGAAATTAGAGTTTTGTCTGTGGGATTACTGGGAACTTCATTCATGAGCTCTTGTCATGTTGGTATCCTGCATGATTGTTTCTTGTTGACAGGAGCCATCTCTGTGTTTTGGATTTCCCACGGATCACAGTTTATATTCTGAACACAGTGTGTGAATGAAGGGCGCGGGAGCAGGAAACATGTCAAGCGGACGATTCAGTCACCTGTTGAGGGGTGTCTGGTTTCTGTGGCAAGGTGAGTTCAAGCACTGACTTCGGCGTAGTTAATTGGTGTAGATTTTGATTCTTGAAAAATGTTGAAGAGAAATGTTATTTTACAGTAGGCTTAAACTCACAAAGACCACGAGTCATGTAAAATTTACATTTTACACTTCAGCAGGTAATCCGGAGCTACAGATACCCCCTTGTAATCAAATGTTTCACTAGGAAAAGAATAAGAGACAGTAAATGCTTACTCTTGTAAGAACTAGAGCTAGAACTTTAGATTGGAGAACGAACACATGGTCAGACAAAAAAAACAGAGATTAAAGCTGACATCTTCATAATTATAAGGAAGTCATTATGCTATTTGTCACAATTCAAATGAAAGCTCAACATGTGGATCACCACTTTGAAAAATTAAACACAAATTATGCTGATGTTAGACTTATGAATAGCCCGTCTGTGTTCCCCATCTCCCCCTGTGAGCGTCTTCAAAGCGTTTGTGGCCACTGGAGGAGTCTTCAAAAAGGGGCTCAAGCTGGTGCCTTTAAACAATGGCTCCCTAGGAGCAGAGAAGCGTGGCCCTGGAACTAATGTTGCCATTATGTTAATGGTTAGAATAACAGCAGACAGCCATTACTGACCCTACCTCAAGCTGCTGTGCCGAGCTGATGATCTGTCCGCTTGGCCTCGATCATGGAAGCAAAGCATTTTGGCCATCAGGGCTGGTTAGGGTGATGGGTGGCTGGAGGCAGACAGGAGGAGACATCTGTCTGGTGCCAGCCTTACTTTCCCCTCCCTTCAGAACCATCTCCTGCTCAATGCTTCAGTAGTAGACTGGTATCTTTGAGCTTTTCGCTTCTTCCCCACTCAAGTTTGTCAGTGGGAGACTGGCAAGGTTGAGTCGTCAGCTCCACACAGGACAGTTCAAACTGTGCAGAAAGCCGCTTAGAGAAGCTTTAAAGAGGAATTTGTTTGGATTATGTATTTATAACTTTTGGCAGATGTTTTATTATTTCAGATTTGTGCTCCTTTCCTATACTAAGTAACAGCTCAGTTCTAAAAGTTAATCTTTTGAAAAACTTGTCATTTACCCACACTTTGTTGGGAGATTTTCTCCACCTTTGAACGTGTAAAAGGAAAGGTGACCAAGTATAACTGGATTTAAAAAACTCCTTCAGCACACATCCAGCTTGAACTGGATAATAAAATGTCTGATCCAACCCCTAATCATTTTTGTTTAAGCTACATCTTGGCTGTAGCAGGTTCCACCTCTCTCCAAGTACATGAAACAGCCACCAACCAGATCTCCAGAACCATCTCAAGCCAGGCTTTTGAATTAAGATGAAAGAATTAAAATTTCAGTTCCAAAAACATCAACGGACCATCAACTTCCCTGTCCACTATCTAAATCTTAAGTACCTTGGCTGTCCACCAAAAAAAAAAGACCACAATGAATGAAGGTGCTCGTATAACAAAGAATCCTCCTCGTTGTCAGACAGCTCAAAATCCAGCGTTGGGCTTCAATGTGCTGCTGGCTTTCAGAGACTTTTGAAAAACATCGTTGAAGAGTAAGTGGATGTGTTGGCTTGAGGAGACAGCTGTTTTACGCAGTACGACATTATGTGTGTGTGTGTGTGTGAGTTGTTGCTTTGTGAATAGGAGCCAGAGTTTGCTAACCACAGTGGAACTGGCAGCAGCATCCATTGGGCAAACCCCTGTTGATCCCTTGTCTAAATAAACGAGGCCGTTGGATTAAGCAGCTTACACTGTGATGAAAAGACAACAGTAGTTGTCCTTGTGCTGCCCTGGGGACAGAAGGATACTCCTGGCCTGGAAGGCTGCGATGAGATGCTGGGGTTAAAGCCAAAAGAAGAAACGGGGACCCAGGGTTAGAATAACACACTGGACCTCATGTTCTTAGGAAAACCTCTAAATCAGCCTGACCTTCGTCTGACTTTAGTGACAAGGGTGGAAGGAAAGGAAAGGGATATTCCTGCAAAACAGCCCTGGCTGAGAAAAATCTACTTTGCATGCTGTTGTGCGGAGACAGAGCAGGGCAGCAGTACATTATCTATGCCGTAAAGACTATAATTATAAATTCAGTAATTACAGTTTTGAATGCTAGTGCCTTAACAATGAGGGCATTGACTGTGTACCAAGTTGATCAAGCTTAACGTGTGTCAATAAAACTGTCAGAATCTAAATCAATAAAGAAAGGACTAAGTTTAGAAAAGCATACCATACCATCAGCATGCGTTCAGAAGTATTGTCATAGATTATTTTTAGTTGCCAAATCAAGGTTTGTGTCAGCCTGCATGAGAGTCCTCTCTCACGCCTTTAAATTTTTTCTTAGACAGCCCAGAATCACACAGCATAAATGTGCTGAAGGGATAATGATAACTTAGGCTGCTTTATAATAAATGTGTTAGCTCATCGAGGGAACAGGAGGTTTGGCTGAAGGGTTAGCTTCTACCAAATGAGAACTGCAGGTCCAGGTAACGCAGAAGATGTTTAATGTGTATTCTGTGTTTTTAGCAACAGGCACTGGGCACCAACATCTTCTATCTGTATTCAGCAGAACGGAGTATTGAATAAAGTCCTCAAAGCATTATATGGAGGGATATATGAGTATCAATAGTCATTCACTGGTGTAGAACCAGAAGACAATAAATCCTTTATGGTTTAAAACAAACAGTAAATAGTAAATAGTAAAAAAAAAAAAAAAGAGCACTTTTTTAAAAGAAAAAAGTAGAACAACTGTTGTGCGGCCTGTTGTATTGAAATATTTACACCCCATGTTTGCGTACTCTTACCTTTTTGGATAAGATAAATAAAATTATTGTTTCTGCTGAACAGTGAAAATCTGTTGAAATAGTGGATCTTTTAAGAGTAAAAAGTTATTATGCAGGTGGTTGCATCGTCTAGATTAATTCAATTATTTAGATTAGAAGAGGAGCCGTGAGAAAAAATAAAACCACAAGCAGGAATATCAATCTTCACTGCGCATTGTGCACTATATGTGGATATCCTGCAAAACATTGTGCAGCCAGCACACACCCCTTCATTATCAGGTGCTGCAAGCCAAAACGCTTAGGAATCATTGGCTATTAACACCTATCCAAAATCTGGATGGCAGCTGAGTGAGTCAGGAAGCCTGAAAAAGCAGCTGTGAACTGTGAATAATGTGCAGCAGTCACCTAAATATGTGGAATGATGAGCTTCTGTAGCATTTAATGTTGCTTTTGAGAGAACGTGCACACATGCACCTCACTAATCTTGTCATTCTGGAGCACGAAGATGCCTCACCCCTCCAAACTCCACCCCTTACTGTCATGAACTTCGTTCACTTCATAAACCATTGACAGACACACGGAGAAAGAGAAGAAAATAAACAAAGACAGATGAAAGAAAGGAGAAATCTGAAATCCATCCAGGACAAATGAGGCGTAAATATCATGGCTTTTTCATCAGGGGGAGAGAAAAGTAATCAGGCGGAGAGGAAGGAGGGCCAGGAGGGCACAGGCACTTCAGGGACAGTTTAGGGAGTTTGATCCACAGCACAAAGAGTGATCAGAGCACAGAAAGAGGGTAAGGATGTAGTTAAAAGAAGAAGAAGAAGAAGAAGAAGAAGAAGAAGAAGAAGAAGAAGTTGGAAGATTTATTTAAAATACTGGGGGGATTGGTCCAACACTGCCTTCATGTCAACACATTATTTGGATATTTTTCCCTCACCTAGGCTGCCTCCATTTTGGCAGCTTTAGTGATTCTCTGTTAAATATTTTCAGAAGTAGCTGTGAAGAAGACACAGACATCTCTCTCCGTGATGGACCAGCTGTGCGGTCAACTTCAACGTCATGCACTTGATTCCCCGCAAGCCCTGAATTAAAAGTGCCAGGATCTGGTTCTTGTTTTTACAGGATAGCTCCAAATAAAGACGTACATAAAGCCTTATTTTTAACGTGGCTCTGTGGACGAGACGTGAGAGAGGAGAGCGAACGCTGCCAGACCGTAATCACAAATGCAAACAAACAAACAGAGGGCAACCCGGAGGTCTCATATAAATGGTAACCCTTCTGCAGTCTACTGTGCATCAATGTGTGCAGTGTGTTTTTTGTGAAAGTGTACGTATGTGCGTGTGTAGGGGGGAACTGAAGGAATATATGAGCTCAAAGACAGGTAGATTACTTTGGCTGGTCATCAGTCAGATGAGGCGAACGCCAGTGTTAGTGGGGATGACAGACTGACCGTCCAGACCACACGCAGCTCACAGGCTGCGGCACTGACCTCTGGTGGAAGAATTGTAAATCTACACGATTTAGAGGAATGATTTTTGCTTGTGGATTCAGCAGTGTTTTGTAAGGCTTGATGGCAATTAAAAGAGCCGGAGTGCATCAAGGGGTAGAGTAGGAAGGTGGCTTTAATCCTGTCATTCCAGAATTTGTCACATTCTTCTCAATAAGGGAACAGCTTTGAAGGCAATTGTTGGATTCATCTATTGGATAATAAAACAAAACGACCTGTTGTTTTTTTTGACACTCCAGAATGTGAAGATTAATATAAGAAATTAGCATAGAGCAGCAAACGTCCCCTACAGAAGAACTTTTCTCCTGGTCTTGGCTTTAAAATAATTATGAACACAATAAGGATTCTGGATGCTATCCCAGCCATTATAGGGCAAGAGGCAGGGACTAGCACAGAGAGACAGACACCTACTGAAACCTATGGGCACTTTAGAATCATCAGTTAACCTAATCCCACTAATTATATTTCTTTGGACTGTGGGAGGAAACCAAACTACCCAGACAGAACCCAGAACACCCTGCAAAGAGAGGGGTCAGATGGTGGAGCTGAACTCAGGACCTTTTTCCTATGAGGCAACAGTGCTAACCACTGCAGCATGCTGCCTTTCTGCCTTCCCATAAGATGAGCGGAAGAAAATGGATGAATGTAAATAAAAATGCAGAAACAGTGAGTCGCTGAATGTAGAAACCTGTAAGCTTACTTTTCTGATAAGTGATTTCTCTTTAATGCTTATTAGTATTTTTCTATCAAGTCATAAGGCTGCATGAAACCCACATTGTATGTAGTCAGTAACATATTCTTTCTGGATATTGTTGAATACTGTAAATTCTGATGTCTTTGAGGAAACTAGACTTTGGCTTTAGAAATTATAATGTTCCTGCAGCATTTCTGTAAAAAATGTGACAAAGAAGATTTTTGTCGCGGTTAAAGAAAGAGAAGAGGCTGATTTGGGGGGTTAAGGTGAGGACCTGGAGTTATATTTCAAAGTAATTAACTGTTTAATGAGATTAGAAAAAGAAACACTAAAATAACAGTCTAATGTCATCCAAGAAGTATACAATTATTAAATATTCTGATCAACACAGTAGTGTAAAATTGTTGAAGATTATAGAAAGCATACTATTATGAATACCTTAATGCTGGTAAATCTAGTTCTTTAGCGCATGGTCACTGTACATTACTCTAAATGCTATTACACGTTCTGTAAAGATAATTTCTACCTTTTAAAAAGTATTTAATAAATTCAGCTACTTCCACAAGCATCAAATCCATCTTTAAGCTTAAATGTAACTTTCAAGTCTCAGTCTTACATAAAGTTTTACTGGTATATGTAATGAAATCTGTTTTAAAAGATGCACTGACCACTATGCTGTGACAGGCCATATGAGTGGGAAGTTTTAGGGCCCGCTGTGGAAAAATAAATCAGTAGGAACCATTGCAGGGTAAAACTAATGCAATGTGACTGCCTGTGTAGGAAGTGAATCAAGTAAAATAGTCCCCCATCTCCTCCAAATGGAGACTGGGATTGGATATTATCATATGTATTACACCATCACCTCACTTGTGGTTGGAATAGGGCTCTTTTGTAGAAGAATACTTAAAACCCCACGATGAGCAATTTTGTTTTACTAAGCTCTGCTTTTATGAGCACTCTTTTAGTAAATGCAACCATATGCCCAACTGGAAGGAGATCCAAGAGAGGGAAAGGGACTGAATGACAAGTGACCTCAAGAAACACTCTATAGAAATGCTTTGGCAAGAACAGAAAGTCCAATATACCAGTCCAAATGACTCCACATCACAGACTGGGACTCTTGTCTCTGTGTCCATTCATTGTGCTCTCTGCGAGTAACCACTTAGGCAACATGTTGCATGGACAGATAACACAAAACAGACCAATTGGATGACTTGTAAGGAGCCGTGGAAATTAATTAATCCTGATTAGTATTTCTGCTCCGGGTTCTCCCAAAGGAGCCCAGCTGGGACTGACTGACCGGGTTTCTTCACCAGCTGCAGTGACAGGGAGCATAAACAAACACATCACCACATAGGGGAAATTGCAAACATGTTTCATTGCCTGTGACAGCAAAAAGAAGAATTAATCTTATCAACATACCGACAGACTGCTGAAAGGAGGAAAAATTTGCTTTGAGTTTGAGTCTGGCTTTGTGGTCGATGGATGTACAGGTCAGACTTTACGGTTGTGTGTTTGTTTATGTGTGTGAGCATCAGCTGGAAGGACGTTGGGAAACGACTGAGCAGCACACATGTCTGCGGCTGTGGTCAGTGTGTGTGGGAAGCATTCCAAGAGCAAAGGGAACAAAAAATATCCTCCATTTGACACTAACAAGGTTAATAAATGCAGATCCGTCAGCCTCCATCTTGGAGCCTTTTAAAGGAAAATCAACATCACACACTTTCCGTTCAAAAGTCCTTGAGCTTCATTTGCTGAGCCATGGGAAAACCGAGTGGTCTGTGGGTCCTCATAGCTGAAACTTGCACAACTTACTCCAAACTCAAATGTAGCCTCGACAGGTGATCTTCTCCCTGAAAAATGTGGTGTAAGCTTACTAAAAGTAGTAAAGGGAGAATGTGACAGTTATGGGAGTAAAAGGAATAATAGAGCAAGTAAAAAGGAAAGGGAGGAAAAACTAGGCGGAATACTTAAAAAGAAACTTAAAGCAAAAGTGCAACAATTTCTAATGTTTTCAGCAAAAGACTGTAGCACTTAAAAAGCACTTTCGTGGATAGAGCCTGATCTGCATGTAGCAGTTTTACAGTTTTACTGTTTACATTCAGTGCTGCCATCTTGGATAGCTAAATCAGGGTATGTTGATCTGTTCCCACTAATATTGCCATTTCCAACTTGAGGGGGTGTCTCACAAAAAATTCCTGACTGGTAAATCAAAATTTCTAACATATTCTAGAATGCGCCACTAGCTAGCAGTCATATACACTCATTGGCCGCTTCATCAGGAACAGCAGCTCGTTAACACAAATATCTAAACAGTTAATCACATGGCAGCAACTCAAGACATTTTGGCATGCAGACATGGTCTGGACATCCTGTTGAAGTTAGAACTGAGCAACAGAAAGGGGAAGAAAAGTGATTTTGAATAGTTGGAGCTATCTCTAACGTTCACAGAGAATGATCCAAAAAAGAGAAAATATCCAGTGAGCGGAGGTTCTCTGTGCGAAAATATCTTGTAGGAGTCAAAGGTCAAAGCAGAATGGCCAGACTCCTCCATGCAGACAGAAAGTCAAAAGTAACTCAAATAACTACAGGCTACAACCACGTTTTACAGAGAAGCATCTCTGAACATACAACATGTCAAACTCTGAAGCAGGTGGGCTACACCAGTCAGCTAAGAACAGAAAACTGGAGCTGCAATTCACACAGGCTCACTCAAATTGAAGACTGGAAAAATGCTGCCTGGTGTGATGAGTTTTGACTTCCGCTGGGACATTTGGAAGGCAGGATCTGATCTTGGCATATAACATGAAACGATGGATCTTTCCTGCTTTATATTAGCATTATAAACTGGTGGTACTGGTGTCATGGCGCGGGGACTGTTTTCTCCTCACACCTTGGGCCTCTTGGCACCAATTGATTAAATGCTACAGCCTACCTGAGCATTGTTACAGACCATATCTGTCCCTTCATGACCAGAGCACACCATTCTAATGGCTACTTCCAGCAGAAATCACACACACAGTGTCACAAAGTTAAGGCCATCACAAACTGGTTTGCTGAACATCACAGTGCAGAGTCTCAAGCCAATAGAGCTCCTTTGGGATGTGGTGGAAGAGGCGATTGACATTATGGATGACCAGCTGACATGTCTGTGGCAACTGTGCGATGCTATCATGTCAATATGAACCAAAATCTCTGAGGAATGTGCCCAGAAAATGACAGCATTAGATAGAAGGCTGATACCACACTCTAAGCAAAAACACAGTCATTCTGTCCACATGTGACAATATTCCCCTACCAACACACTTTCACAAGTTCATTGTGTAAAGGTTACATGAAATGGTAAAAGCCTAATGAGGATATTTCAAGTCAACAAATGAAAATGAATGCAACAGAAGATGGAGGCATCTGCGAGAACACATGTAGCTTTGCTTTTTGACATTTCTTTTGGGGGGATTTAAAGCTGAAGCCATAACTTTGACACACGCAAAAGTACGCACATTGCCCAGACAGACCCCAGAGGGCTTCCTCATGTTGCAACCATGAGGGTGCAATCAGAAAATCCTATCGCTTTGGTCTGGTTGGAAACCACACCAGAGCACTCGACCTTGTTGTCAACACACGCATTGAGGTGAAATTGCAGTTAAGATTAATGGCAGACACACTGCAGATGTGCAAATGTCAGATCAATAAAATGCTATAGAGTGAATACGGCGTTCCTTTGGATTAGCTGTCAGTGTTTGGGAAAACTCAAGAACAAGAACATTAATCATCATGAGTGATTTTCTTAAAATCATATTATCAGCAGATGTGTTTGGCTCAGTTGGCCTGCTGCTGTTGCTGACCCACCCGTTTGCATTATTGCAATTTTTTGAGAAAAACAAAATATAACTATATATACAGTACAAAGACTACACACTCCCACACAAACACTTCCACTCACACCTCCTGTCTCAAAGCAAACTAAAAGCCTGTATGTTGCAGCTGCAGGCTGATTGAAGTGACAAGCCAAAATTTTAGCACTGATACAAAGGTCCTGTTTTACAGCCATGTATGGATAAATAGCAGTCTTTCTCCTCATTACATAGAAAATTCAACAAAAGTACAATCCCAAAAGAGTTTGGACTGAACTGCAGTGAATCTAGCTTGTTTGAAATGTGAATATAACCAATAGGCTCTTAGCATTTCCATTTATTTTCTAATGACGGAGGCTGAGAGTCTTCCCATGCCATGGAGCGAAGCATTTGTGTTGATCAGATGGGATAACTGACACACTGTTTTGATTTTTCTTTCCAGCTCTGTTGGTGGTAGGAACAGGGACAAAACTTTGGGAGGTGCCAACAGGTCCATTTGCATCCTCCTCCAACTTCAGTGAGAGCCTCCAGTGGGAGCCCCACTGTCAGTACCATAACATACAGGACAGAGTGAGAATCACAGCAGATATACCACCACAACTGGATGGTACTTGGGTATCAATAAGGTACAAATTCATATAGAGCAATGATAATGACCCTCCATCTTAAAAACAAAAGCCAAATCAAGACCTGTCCCAAATAATTCAATACTTCAGAGTCATCTCTGTCATACTTAAGAACTTGAAAGCTATCCATAAAAACAATTGCCTATATAATTTTTCTCCTTCTGCATTTAGATGCGAAGTTCGTCCTGGTCCAGAGTTTCTTACCCGCTCCTACACTTTCCATCCCAACCGTCACTTCCAGGCCCTGCAGCACTACTATACCGACAGCAGCTGCGAGGATCCTAGCTACTCCCTGATAGTCAGGGGAAAGATCCGTCTGCGCCAGGCCTCTTGGATCACTCGTGGGGCTACTGAAGCTGAGCATCACCTCAGCAAAGTGGCCATTGTGGTTCATAGCCTTGCAGCCAAACAGAGGTTGGCCTCCAGGCTCCCTTCAACATGCGTAGGTCTCAGCCTGGGTCGAGTGGTGCCAGGGAAGCTCTACGAGCTATACAACACCCGGGCAGGGAGGGGATGTCTGGAAGCACTGGGTTTCTCCATGATGGAGATGGGTTTAGTACGAGTAGAAACGCAATACCACAGCCATGGAAGGAAGGTCCAGGAGCTGTTCTTGGGGGATATCCACACTGACTGGACACAAAGAACTCAGTACAAACCTACTGGGTACCAGCAACCACTGCAGAATGCCATGGTAAGACAGTACGGTGATTTTTTATCAATAAGCACTGAAAGCAGTTTCTGTTCATTTCATTTCATTTATTTATTTATTTCACACTTGGTACAACAGTTTCCACAGTTAGTTCTTTCAGACAAACCAACCACACTTTCTATCAGTAAAGCACTGCAACCATGTGTGAAAAGGAGCAGGAATAAGAAAATATTCTTGTTAAACCCTGCCCCCTATCTACAATCCAACTTATATTGCAAGTGGGCACCAAAAATTAAGGAACAAACTAACATTAACATTTATCTCCGGTCCTAAATCAAACCAAACAACAAATTTACAATCAGAACATACCACTCCACATAGTAACAAGGAGAAATGATAAGTAAATAAAATAAATGAGGCAAAAAAAAAAATGGATCCTTTGTCAATTAACTCCAATTTCATTCACATTCTTCATATTGAGTTATCGTTTTAGACATGTAACACTTTTTAAAACAATGAAAATTTATACAATTCTTTAAATTATAATGAAGAGAGTTCCACAGTCGTATACCCCTAACCGTTGGACTCATTAATCTTTGTGTAGTCCTAGCTAGCTGATGCTTAAAATAAAATTTCCTTCTGCTGTCTTCTGCCCCCAAACACATTAAAAATACTCTTTGTAACTTAAAAGGCAAAATTATTTTTAGCCTTAAACATAATTAATAGTGTCCGTAGTTTCACTAAATCTCCTAATTTTAATAATTTCGATTTTATAAATAATTTATTTGTATGTTCTCTATATTTAACATTATGAATCATTTGTATCACTTTCTTCTGTAATAAGTTTAGAGGTTTTATGGTATTTTCATATGTATTCCCCCAAACTTCGACACAGTAACTAAAGTACGAGAAAAACAATGAAAAATATAAAATGCGCATTGTTTTGTAGTCTAATAAATCTCTTACATTTCCCAAAATATAAATGTTTTTAACCATCTTCTTTCTAATATATTCAATATGTGATTTCCACGTCAAATTTTCATGTACTATTACACCCAAAAAGCGAAAATCAGTAACTCTTTCAATCAATTCTCCATTAATGGACATAATGACTTCTTCCTCCTTTACACGATTGCCAAATATCATGAATTTCGTTTTTTGTCAGATTCAAAGATAATTTATTTACATCAAACCATTTTTTAAATCTTAACATCTCAGAAATCATAATTTCAACCAAATCTTTCAAATTCTCTCCAGAGCAATAAAAATTTGTGTCATCTGCAAATAGAATAAAATTTAACCTTTTTGATACGTCACAGATATCATTAATATATAAATTAAAACGTTTAGGTCCCAAAATAGAACCTTGAGGAACGCCACATACAATCTTTAATCTTTCAGAGGTATTGCCGAGATAATGTACATATTGCGACCTATTTTCTAAATAACTCGTTAACCAATTCAATGCCAGTCCTCTCACACCATAATTATACAATTAAGAAATCAAAAAAGAATGTTGTAATGTGTCAAAAGCTTTTTTTTAAATTAACGAATACCCCAACTGTGTATTTATTATTATGGGTTGCAGATGAAATATCGTCAATGAAAGTCAACAATGCTAATGCCAATGATCTATTTTTAAGAAATCCAAATTGATTTTCATTTATTAGTTGATTTTTTTCAATAAAACTATCAAGTCTTTGCGCAAAAAGTTTTTCAAGCACTTTTGAAAACTGTGTTAAAACTATGCTTATCTCTTGATTTATATAAGGGTATCACTTTTGCCACTTTCATTCGATCAGGAAATACTCCTGATTGTAACAAGAGATTTAAAATATCTCTTATACTACACTATACTTTAATACTTATACAGTCTAAAGTCTTTTTAATTATAACCATGTCTATACCATCACAGTCAGTAGATTTTTTATTATTTTTTTGAAAATATTTTTATTGAAAAAAGAAAACAACAGTACTTGCAGTTACCGAAATACAATCAACCTTTCTTCATTTTCCTAAGTAAATAAACATATATATATATATATATATATATATGAAAAAAACATATATATATATAAAAACACAATGCCCCCCCCCAGTCCCACACAGATCAACACAACCATCAAACATATTAGAGGAATATAACAGTAACAAAAGTAGATTTAAACAGGCAATACCTCTAGACTAGCAAAATAAGAGATAAAGGGTTGCCACTTGTGAAAAAATTTGGCAACGTATATTTAGTTTTTTCAAGTTTTAAAAAAAACATGACACCTTTAATCCACCGGGAAATAGTAGGATACTTAACAGACTTCCAATGCAACAATATTAGACGTCTCGCTAATAGGGATGTGAAGGCTATAATATCCTTTTGTGTAGAATCAAGTGTAAGTGAGCGAACAGGAATCCCAAATACAGCAATCAGAGGACAAGGATGAAGAGTTACCCCAAGAACAGTTGACATAATAGCAAAATACCCTGTCCAGAAACCTTGTAGCTCAGGACACAGAAAAAACATGTGGCTAAGGTGACAAGGAGAACCATGGCATTTATCACATTTATTTTCCACTTCTGGATACAATTCAGAAAGTCTAGACTTAGAGAAATGCACCCTGTGTATGACCTTAAATTGAATAAGTCCAAGACGAGCACAGGAGGTGGAAGATCGTACCCTTGCTATAGCCTGTTCCCAAGACTCTTCATGTATACGAATTCCCAGTTCTCCTTCCCATGTACACTTAAGCTTAACATTAGAGTGGTTACTAAAAGACAGAATAGCATCATAGAGTTTCGAAATGGTTCCTCTGTGATGAGGAACAAATGATAACGTAGTTTCCCACTGCTGTTCTGGAGGTAAAAAAGATTTTTTATTTTTAAAGTTTTCTACAATTGCTATTTTCTTTTATGGTAATATCAGCTAAGAATATAGAATTAACCACTCTACTTTCTCCTTTCCAGACTTCCTCATATTCTGGGTCGTCATTTTTTCTAATTAAATTTGCTAAAGTAGGTCCAACATTTACAAAAAAAGAATTGAATTTGTTCAGTCATCGACAACTTGATTATTCTTAATGAAATAAATAGGCCGATCTGAGGGTGTGTTCTTGTTACCCAATACTTCTTTAAAAATATTCCAAATGCACTTAATATTATTCTTGTTTTCCTGAAAAAGTTTCATATAATAGTCTTTCTTGGCTTTCCTCAATATTAATACCAACTTATTTTTATAAGCAAGACCCTTAGTTATCCAAGGTTTCAAATTCTTATTCTTTTTCCTATACTTAAATGATACCAATAGACAATATTTATCATACGAGGCCAAGTAAGTGTTTAAAAATGCTCCATATGCAACGTTGACCTCATTAACATAAACTTCCTTCCAGTCCACTTCCATGAGATCTTGTCTAAACTTGTTAATTGCCTCGTTGTTTCTTAACCTTCTATGACTCACGAAACCAACTTCTTCCTTTCTTTTCATATTTAAATCAAAAGTACAAAAGACTGGTAAATGATCACTTATATCGTTTATGATGAGGCCACTCATAATATTACTCTCCAAGCTATTAATGAAAATATGATCAATTAGTGTTTCTGATTTATCCGTTATTCTACTCGGCTTTATAATTAAAGGATAAAATCCTTTTCCAAATAATAATTCAAAAAAATCTGACGCAGCCTGTTAATTAAGATAGATCAACACGTTACAGGCTGACAAACTGTTGTTGTTGTTTTTTTCAAACATCTAGGCAGTTTGGGTTTAGACCATATTATACATTTATAAAAAATAGTTTCTTCCAGGCCAAAAAACATTTTTTTAGTCTGGAAAATCTGCTCAATTTAGTCTTGAAGCAAAGCTCTCTAGGGGAAAAGATTAGTCAGTGAGACCATTAGTCAATCAACAGAAAATTTATCAGTCATTTACTGAGAAAAAATGTAAAACAGATTGTTTTCATGCCTGCAAAGCATTGCGGCTCTCAGTGTTGGATGGGGTGTTCGAACCACAAAGGAAGCCACGATATTTGGCAGGTAGCTGAAATGAAAATGTTCCACCGACAACACAGAGGTTGGCTAATGCCTATAACAGCACCTACATTTTCGTTGTTGCTGTTTAATTGTTTTTCAGAGCTTTTCAGCTTTATTCAGTAGCACGATGAATATTAGGAAAGCAGGGAGGGAGACACATTTGCATTTTAAACCAGCACCCTTTCACCATTTGTCACTCAAACTTGCCCCATCCTTCATGAAGCATAACTTCAAGCCTAATTAAAGAGGATTAAATATCAAAGCCAGTAATTCTAAAACGAGAAACGGACAGCATCTATTAAAAAAAATGCTTGGGGTCAACATCTAACATTCTTTTTTCTTGCAGCATCACATCCACCCCTGCCCTGTATGTGCTCTGGTGTACCGCTCCTCAGACCAGCGCCCCCCTGTGTTGCCCCGCAGCCCTGCAACCTATCTGTCTCTTGGAGGCCGATGGGTTAGCCAGCGCTGTGAAACCCGTCCCAATGTCCTCTTTCTTACCCGAGACTTCACCTTTAATCCCCACCAGCACGCCTGGGAGGGCATCTACCGGCACTATTCTGACTCTGCCTGCTCTCAGCCCACTTTCACCCTGAGAGCCTCAGGCCACTATGCTCAGGGAAACCCCTCCCCCAAAATCTCAGGAGCCTCTGAGTTTGTCTTCAAGGTAACCCAGGTCAGAGCCACAGCTATGGGGGAGCCCACAGCCAAATTGCTAAACAGTACAAAGCCAGGGAAGTGTGGTCGTGCTAGAGGATGGGAGGTCGGAGTAGAGCAGGACTTGACCCCCACAGACGGATGCACCGTGTTGGGTATCAAGCTGCCCCATAAAGAGTACGAGCTCTTCAAGATAGAGCTGGATCACAGGAAACACCCACTGCTGTTTATCGGCGAGAGGCCAACTGACGGGTCCAGTCCTGACCGACCGCTGAGGCGACCCACTTCCTTTCAGGCTCCCATGGTACTTTGCAGTGGGGGAAGCACACAGGCCGCCCGCTCAGGTTTTAACAGCAAGCAAGTACAGTTAGCAGCCAGTGGGACAGAGAGGCTTCCACAGCTGGTCCTGCTGGTGTTTGGATCTGTGCTTTGCGGCTGGCTCTGTGTTTACTAGACATTGTTCGCAAATCAAACCTGTTAAACAGCTGAAGCCAGTGATGGACATTTTTTCCTGGCAGCTGTTTTTCATTTTCCTTCCACATGATGACATGTTCATGACCACATGTGAAATAGGCAAGAAAGACATTTAGAAGATATATGCTGTCTGTAGGTTAACCTAAATGACTCACTTCATCTCCTTTTTCTAACAAATCTGTATAAAAGCCACCAATATATACAAATGCCATCGTTTCAGTATGTAAAACTTCATATATTCTTTTGAAACATGATACCTTTGTATGATAATCAAAATGATGCTCTCAAGTCGCAAACTGATTTCAAATGTGGGTCTTCATTAATATGCAAGCCAGGGCTATTTCAGTTACTTTTCACCAAGATGCAGTACAACTAATGCACTTTGTAAATAATATTTTATCAGCATATTGGTAAGAACAGTTACCATCACTGGTCAAGTTTTAGTGTATTAGTCTTTTTTCTATCAACAGCCAGTCTAAACAAATTAATGAAATTAATATTTATTTTATCCATTTATACTGTGCTTTTTTATAAAAATCTTTTTTTTGTCTAATATTTTAGTTAGTTTTGTCATTTAATATTTCCATGTCTATTAAAAGTTGCTTATCATAATATTTTTGTGAGATTCCTTTTCATCGTTCATATCATCAAGACAAAAGTTATGTGGGGTGCTCTATAAATTCAGTTTATTTTAACTAAACTTGATTTATATTACATTTCTACATTACAGAAATAGTCATCTAAAGGTACTTGATATTGCAAGGTAAAGACCTCATAATATTAGAGAAAGAAATCCAAGAATCCCCAAAGAGCAAGGACAATGGAGCAGTGTGGAAAAAACTCGTGGAACGTGTCCAGAGAGAGGTGTTTTTGTATGTAAGATATCAGACAGCTTCCCAACACTGACAGTGACCACAGATAACTGAGATTTGTGCTCCTTCTTTGTTCGCCCACTGTGCTGCACCTAACTGGATAAAATTTTAACTTAAATTTAGGTAGTATTACAAGAAATGTGTTTCTGACGACATTTGAGGCAGAAAAATGAGGCATGCATTCGCTGAATCTGTCTTCGTTTTAGATCAACAACAGCTATTTTTGGCTGGACAGTGTTTATTTGCATAGAGCAGCCTAGACCTCAGTGTTTTAAGACTTTGTTTGACAGAAAGAGCAGACTAAAGGGAAATGGCATGCAGCAAATGGCTGGTGGGTAGACTCAAATCAGACCGCCTGAGAAAGGACATGAGCCTTCAGTACATGGGCCACATGATTTACTGGGTAGGCAGATATCAACCTGTGAATGTGGAGCAGGCGACTCAACTTGGCACTTACAGAAAGCACTGAATGACTTGTTACATAGAGAATGGACACCTACCAATGCAACCAGGCTCAGGGACCATCTGCCACACCTAAGTAGACTTGCTGCCGAACCTCTGAGATCAGGAATAAGTGTAGCTTTTACTTCAAGCAAACAGTACAGTCAGTTTAGAGTCCTGTACTGGAGAAAGTCTGTTGCAGATTTCATGCTTGTCCATTCGACATTTGTTGAGATAGGTATGCAAGTCTAAAATACAAACCTTATGGTAGTGCTATGTAATGTTAAAATCAGTGTAAGTAGGTTTCTATCCTCAGGGGACAAATCTGAAGACTCGCAATCTGTCCAAAAGTTGTTAAAATATGTTAGCATGGACCAAAGTATACGATGGATGAACTGGCGCATGTAAAAAATAAAAGTTTACTTGCAGCATTCCCAAGCTGTTGTTTTATCAGAAAATTCAGGCAAGGATTAACTGAATTTGTTCTCTGGTGTTCATACTGTGGTCTGATTCAAAGCCCACAAAGTGGGTGAGCGTTTGATAGTCATATGGCTCACACATTACTCCGCAAACATTCCAGTGCAGGTCAAACTACTGCAAACACAGAAGGATATCAGATTGGATGCACAGCCTTCAGCCAAGAAAACAGATTTTTCAGCCGCTTTGACATTAAATGAGCCAAGAGGAGCAACAGCAGGAGACAGCAGAGGAATATTTTTTATATATAGCTCCAGATATTCAGTGTTGTGACTGAAGTCAGTGAAGCGCTGGAGATGTCGTCCATTTGTAAAACCCTGACAACTGTGTCTAATGACTTCAAGCACCTCAGCTCAGCATAGTGCAGAATATCATCCAAACTCATCACCAGTGTCTGGACCTTTATCTACTGAACACTTGAATACTCTGCACATGTACACAGGTCTATCAACACCTGCATAACAGTGATAGTGGCGAGGAAGAATTAGGCATATCTGGGACTTACGTTGTGCAAGATTCCTCGCTAATAAGGTTATTAGAAAATAAAGCAGCCTGTACCACCCCTAAATTGCCAGATCGGGTGAAAACAACATATCAAGGGGATGAACTTGTTAGCAAGGGCAAAGGGTTACCCATCAACACACTGGCACAGAGGAACATTGTGCTTTTGGCCACCTAATCTAATGTTAACTATTCTTTGAGTTTTTGGAAGTAAGATTTTCTAACTGCTAGTTTATCTACTTTGTTCAACAGAAAGCCAAGCATTGTGACCATCTTTTATTTGGTGCATTTGTAAAGCTTTTTTAGAGGGTCAATATCTTCACTGAACTTTCCCACATACAAGTAAGTATAAAACAGACCAACATACTAGGCAGTATCAAAGAGGAAGGCTAAGTCATGCACTCCATAAAGCACTAAAAACACAAAACAAAGATAAGCACAAATAAACACAAGCGTAAACCAATAAATGAAGCTGAAAATAAAGCAAGGGCTGCGTAGAGATAAATAAAGGCTACTTTACAAGAGTCAGCCATTAGAGCCAGTATAGAAGTCTTGCACAGCATCAGCATTGCTAACCCTTAAGCGCTTTAAATATAACATAACAGCCAATCAGCTACGCATGAATGCATCATGTGGTTTTGGTGATCCACTACACCCTTTTACACAATATCTGTCAGTCTGTATAATAAGAAATGAGCACCAAACATTATAGAAAGTATTACTCAGCTTCAGCTCGTTCTTCAGCACAGGCTTTCTGCTGTGATCCAGCTTTAAAACTGGGAACTGTTGTTAAGTACATTAAAGGGGTATTTATGAAAAAAATGAAGCCAACGTGGTTATCTCCTGGAATTTATGAAAGAAAGAAAGAAAGAAAGAAAGAAAGAAAGAAAGAAAGAAAGAAAGAAAGAAAGAAAGAAAGAAAGAAAGAAAGAAAGAAAGAAGACGGTCTTTTTTTCCAGAGACTGCATACTGTTCTTATTAACTCCTGCAAGGACGATGATGGCAGCTGCTAGTCCCATGAGGTCATCCTTCAGGCTTGAATGGAGAATATAGGTCTGTAACCTCCCAGAGCCATCACAAAAAAAGACCCAAAAACTGACTGAAAGAAAAAACTGGAAGTAAATGAGTGGCATTTATCTGCACAATAACATGCAGAATCTTTCATTAAAACAATTTTGAACCTAGACAAATCAAACTTTTAGTGAATCTAGGAGTAACCACACACATCAATGTCGGTCTTTGCTTGCTTTTGATGGCTGGCCTGGGGTCTGTTTGTGGTTTTTGTTAGTGCACCATGCAGTGAAGGCAGAAAGACATGCAAGGCCAGCCTGTTAGTAATCAGGCCCAGCAGATTATTAAATGTAATGATTGAGGAAAAGATAAGAAACAGAGCCAGCTCAGTTAGTTAGAAGAAGACTAAGAACCCTCTTAGTCACTACCTAGAATTATCAGTGTTTATAAATTTTACCTCAGCAGATATTTTTGGATTTTTAGAATTAGTTTATAAAGAATGTTTTCTTCTAGAGTATTGCATAGGGAAAATGTCTGTATGCCTATCACAGAGGAAACAAAGAGACTGGCTGTTTAGGTAGAGAAAAACACTGAAAACACTCAGAAAAACAGTCATCTTTTAATTAATTAAGTAATTTATATTCCTGGAGTATAGTGCAAAAGAATGATACCTATTCTACCGAGTCAACTTGGTTAGCAAAGTGCATCGACAGTGCACAGTGATATTTAACAAGAGTCTAATTTGGAACCACAAAACAAAATGTAAATAAAAATAAACCGGGGCTACCAGCAACCATGCCTTTTGCATGGAACAGCTAAATTAAAAGGTTTGAGCACTATGTGACATGGCGAGCTGTTTATATCTACAGGTGGATTAAAATATGAAGGTGATGCATTGGCAAAACAACTACACTGAGCCAAACAAGTAAATTCTTAGTAATATTTATCCTAAAGTTATGGTTTTGCCTGCACCTGTTCAGCACCTGTCAGTTTTATTAAACCAGACATGCTGGGAGCAGACATCCCATCTCCGTCATTAAGGCCTTGCTAATGTGCTACAATTGCAGATTTAAGTGGAATCAGAGTCAAGCGAGGTTAAGCTTCCTTCCTGAAACAACAGCCATCTGTAGGTAGAGGATGAAAGTCATTTAAAGGATGTTGCAGACAGGCATTGAGAGGTGGTTATGACATAAAATACTCTCCGAAATGTAAGGAGAGAGTCTGCTTTCCTTTTGGTTTTATCTGAGCACTGGGCAAGCAGGACTTGCCTTTCTTGCCCAGATACTGTAGACATCTGCTGCATTCAGATAATATGGACTACTACATGAAGTAAAGCTAAAGAGGCTTATTTTATTAGGCTATAAATATGTAGCATTTCTTCTGCAAAGTCAGACATTAAGATGTACGGGGGTTGGGCTGGATATTTTAAAGCAAGAGTCAGTGGGGACTGGTTTGTTTTTAGAACCAATCTCACATGCTATTTTAGGACCTGGAGTTTTTGGCACTTCTATAGCAGCTTTATTTCTCGACTCCTTTAGGTTGCCTCTTTTCTATTGACAGAAAAACTCACTACAGAATAAGGATACTTCATTTGTTTAATTTGCAAAACTTGGGCAAGGCTATCTTTATTTTGTTTATCAAATCTAAATTTACTGTAACAGATCTAGCAAATTGTCTCCTAAATAATGCACATTTATTAATTGTCAAAATCCAAAAGGAAAAAACACATGAAAAGTTAAATGTACACATATTTACTTTCAGAACAGTTGACTAAGTAGTTTAGCTTAGCTTAGCAAAACGAATAAAAATAGGGAACAGCATTATACAGATTATTTGCTTGTAACTGAAAAGAAACTAAGTTAGGCAACCTGTTTCTTTTATTTGGCTCTCACAAGAAACTGAATACACATAGACTATTTATCAAACTGTCAAACTATTCAGTTCATACCAAAAAAAATTGTATTGCTTAATTTTCTAAAAGGCAACCAAGTGAAAGAAACACAAGTATTAAGGGACACAGTGGTCATGCATAAGAAAACTGGCCAAAATTCCTTCACTTGACATTTTCCAGACTAGAAAAGATGTCCAAAAATCTGTCAGTCACCAACAAAATGTAACAATGAGCCTCTTAATTAGGGCCCAGTGTAACAGTCAAGAAAAAGTAGCCAATTTACCACCTGTGCAGTTTAGCTGCGTTCCCATGGACTTCTGCAACATAGCACATGCAATGTTTTAGCTTTTATTTAAGAAATAAATTTCTTTACTTTGCTGTTAGACTTTTTTCTGACGAGCTGACCTTGGAATACGATT